AACTGCATGGGATGACTTTTGAACTCCTGATTAAAGAATTCAGATCTGAGGAAATATGGCACCCACAGTTGTCTAGAAAATCTCTGTATACTGTGGTTGTTTTTGAAAATGGCAATCTGAAACGTTTGCAGAGGGACTGTATTTCCATTCTTCCAAAGCCTGGATTTATCTCTGCTGGCCACTCATTGACTTATAAGGTACAGAGTTCAGAACTTATGTTTAGAATGGAATTAGAAGTGCCCGGCCATGACCAACCTAGTTCATGAGAAGAAGTTGGTGTGAATAACCATTGTTTATGATACTGGTTAAAAATTGGCCATAATCTACTGAAACAATCTCGTTGTTATTTGTTAGTACTATTGATGCAAACTTAATTTCTTTCATGGCATTCTGTGCTTCTTAAACCTTTTAACCCTTGCATTCCTTCTAAAAATCATATGCTGCAACGAATCAACTTGTCGGCATAAACTGTAGTAACATCCTTTATCTGTAAAGCTTTGGAAAGAAGAGATAATTCGAATAATACATCGTGCATAAGTGCCAGATCAAGAGGAAATTGTTTTGATGAAATGCATTATAAAGCCTATTGGTTAAATTTTGATCGATTTTTATCAATGACACTGCTAACAGACTCGAAATAATAACACAGAGACGTGTAACCTTTCCAAACAGCTGAAACAGTTCTAAACAAACTTTCAACCTATCTAGTTCCAAACATACGTCCAATTTTTTTCATCTCTTCATAAAGCTTTGCTGCACACTATTGAATTTCTCTTTGGTTCTTAGGAGAATGATTGTATAAAGAGTACAGTTTGTCCATAGATGAACGAACATTATTAACACCAGGTACTTTGGAAGTTGCATCTCCAACTGACAATTCCAAGCGATGATTTAAGCAATGTCATCTATAATATTAGGGTACTTATGCAACATCCATTAAGTCCAACCAGATTTTTTTCCCTAGCATTATGCTGACACCATCACTGGTAAAAACAACAAGATTTTTCTGAAGATAATTATGATCAAACCCATGTAGACCAAGATAAGTAAGTGTTCACTTATTGTTCTTGTCGTTTGATCAAGCAATTCTACCAAATCCAAAAAAATATAATGTGGATCATTGGTCTTGTCCATTTCACATTTTAAATAGCTTATCAAAGTAGTTTTGCTACTAAAAGTGGTGGACTCATCTATCAGAATAGGTATTTTTCCTTTTATTTCGAGGATGCGTTTGAAGACTCTTGATATCATTTCTTATGCAACATGGTCAATTATATTAGTAGCACTAAATCGCAAATGCAAACCTTGAGGAATTTCTGTGCCATTTAATCCTCGCAACTCCAATAGATCAAAATAGTTAGAAAATGGTTTACATTTTTGTCTATATAATATGCAGTTCCAAAAATTGTGCAGGTAGGCTATACTTCAGATCTACAATAGTTTGAATTTGTTGTTCCCTTGCACTCTGAAGAATTGTTAAAGCATTATTGTGTGACTGCATCTTCAAATGAAGTAGAATTTGTTTTCTCAGGGATGTTAGTTGCACTGATTGCGTACTGCAGCTGAAAGAAACTGAACTCCATTCTTTGGGAAAACTAGCACCTTGTGATTTAAATTGGCCTAGATTTGTCACACTAGAGCGTGATGCACGTCCGATTTTTTCAGCATCACTCACGAGCCATAGGTAAGCCTTTTTTCTAATCTTCACACATCTCAGCAGTCCAAACTTCAGACCATACAGACTTGGGCTCATCACTTTTGCATTCAGTTGTATGTTGTCCTGTCAATGTCACTTCACTGAAATTTGATGTATCACTAGAAGTAGCTTGTGGAATTACTTTTACACATTCAATATCACTCATGCAATCACTTGCACAAGTTGCACTTTCTTCCAATTCTTCTGTTAATTTTGTTTTTTTAGTGAAAAATGTTTGCAGGGATGTTTGTTTACGTTTTTCACTCATTGTTTTAAGGTCACGATGTATTTCTTTCTTTTTTTTTTAGATAAAAGAAACTGTTTGATTACCAATAAGTCTAAGTTAGAAATACTAGCTAAATCAAAATAGGCCATATTTATATTACTGGAAAGTAAGCATTTATTGGTTACTGTGCAAGTATGGTAAAAGAGTAAACAGGATGTTCATAAGCTCTTACACACTTTTACACCAATACTGTTTAATCCTGACCACCCTTGGAGGATAACTAACACTCAAACACTTAATAAGTTTATTGGATCGGATCAGACTTTGTACAGAGCCATGTCGTAAACATTTTCTCTCAGTTTTATATAGTACCTTGGACAATCACTGTAATACAAACAAGTCGATAAACCCTACCCCACCGTGTTTTCGAAGCCGAGAAAATTCTGGGAATTGCACCACATGAGCGTATTTGCTATTGATGATGTTAAAGTACAGTGTCACGTAAACAGTCTAATGCCATGAGTGGCAATTCATTGCTTTATTTTCTAAAGGTTTCTATTTCAACTGCTAACAGTAAAATAAAATAGGAAATAGATGTGAAAAGATTATAAGTAGAAATTATCAGATTTACTTTGGAATTTCGTGGTCCATACTGAAAAGTTCCGACACTCCCGACAGTACTATTTATTTTGTTTCGTCGAGTTTCTAAGTCAGCTGCTAACAATATAATAACTACAGAAAATAAGTGTGAAAAGATGAGATGTATAAACTCTGACCATAAATTGTTTGGAACTTTGTGATCAATACTAACAGAACTACACAATTTATTTTGCAAACTTTTCTTTCATTATATTAGATTGTCAAGAAATTAATGTCGCTTTTTTAGATGAAAAAACCCAACAACTTATATATCAAAACATTTACTAAATGATATATTCTCCATTCTTATTGATGATGTTTTTCCATCTTACGATTAGGTTGTTAATGCCCTGATTAAAGAAATCACTTAGCTTTGAAGAAAAAATATGTTGATACCCTCTTTAACATCTTTCACATTTGCATATGTTTTCTTATTAAGATGGTGTTGCAGCGAACTAAAAAGATGGTAATCTGATGGTACCATATCTGGAGAATATGGTGGGTGGAGGAAAACTTCCCAACCCAACTCCATAATCTTGCATTGCATCAAACGTGCCATACATGGACGTGCATTGTCGTGGAGAAGAAGAACACCTTTCCGGCTGATGAGTGAATGGTGTTTCTGATGAAGAGCTTCATTTAAACATTACATTTGCTGACTATAGATCTCTGCATTGATAGTTCACTGTGGATTGAGGAGTTCGAAATGAATTACTCCTTTGATGTCCCACCAAATGCACAGCAGCACTTTCTGCGGATGGAGTCGGGATTTTGGGGTCGGAAGTGGTATTTGTCTAGGAGTGAGCCATTGCTTTTGACGTTTAATATTCGCATAGAGAATCCATTTTTTATCACCAGTGGCAATTCTGTCCAAAAATGGTCCACGTGCATTACGCGACAAAAGAAACGAAGCAACGTTCACACGTTAGAAACGATGGTCATCGGAGAGTTCGTAAGGCACTCAAACACCTTCTTTATGGAGTTTTCCCATATTCCTTAGATGTTTACGTATTGTTTCATCACAGCCATGCAATTTCAGGGCCATTTCACGAGTGTGTTGCCTTGGGTTAGGCTCAACAAGCGTCTTCAGAGCATCAGTATTGTTACGACATCGAGGTCACGTGACTAGTATCACGCCACGTCGTTCTCGAACATTCACGTCCTTTCCTTAAATCTCGTGATCCCTCTAGATATAGTGTAGTCTTGTATATAAAAGACCGGCCACGAAGCGACGGGGAGGATGAGTAATTGAATGTATGCTGACAGAGAGGATATTGTTGGGCACGTGAGACGTTCGTTGAGAATTATAGCATTTGTTATAGAGCGACTATTGAAATTAAGTGTATTGCAAAGTTATATTCAGAAAGAATAAACCAGTTTTATTTAAGAAAGGACTCGTATCGCTACGGAAAATTAACTAACGAACGGAGACGTAACAATATCAATTCCAACATGTCAGCCCCTGTCATCACAGTTTTTTAGGCTAAAGTCACCTGAACAAAATTTGCTGAACCATCGTTAACACTTACGAACGTTCAAAACATTCCCATAAACTTCTTTGATATTCTTTGTGGCTACAGGGACGTTGTTTCCCTTTTTGTATTCAAACAGCATTACGTGCCGAATGTGTATCTCGTCGTGTGTCATCACCATAAGGGATTAGAGTATACTACAGTTCACACATTACATAGGCTACACTAACTTGAGTTTAACTATTATACATGATGTACGTTTTTTGGGAGGTGGTTAATGAAAGTGTTCCAAAACGCGACCTAATACTTTGATTACTTGCTTACAACCGGTATGAAAGGGTTAATGATTCTTTCTTCTGGGGATGGGAAAAACTTCACCAAATTAGAGATTTGTAAAGTCGGATTCGTTTGAACTAATGAGGGAACGTCAATCCCACGCGTTTCCACACCAATAAACCACTGTGATGGACGCTTCAAGAAACGTTGTGTTTATAATCTACATTCTAATATACCAGAAAAACTTAATACCACATCTTCCAAGATTATATAAAAAAATAATATTTCAAAATATCACATATAATAATCAAGCGAAAATCTCCCATAAGCTATAAATATATCTGTATCTCCTCTTGCTTAACTTCAGATCACAAGCTTTTTATTTCCTTATCGGGCCACGACATTACATATCACGTAACTAACAACATAGTATTTGTTATAAATAATCATAACATGCATTTCATATTGAGACCGTCACTGCTATAGTTGGTTCGTTCCTTAAATTATGTAAAATATCTTATTTAATTTTCACTAGGCGGAAACTGTCAATTTTAATAAAATACAGCTGAATCAAACCGTTTGTAAAAACAAGAAAAAACCCTTAAAGGTAAGATAAGGAAAATAGTATTATATAACTACGAAAAAATGCATACATTCAATTACTACATACTCCACTTTTATTTTAATACAGGGGATAGCGCGAACGCAGTCCCCCACTACCAAAAATTACACGTTCCATCTGCCCCAGTTTGGGGTAGTGGCAGGGGTCAACTCAATCAGAGTGCAATGAATGAGCCTTTCCCTGGGGAAGCCACCTTCTTGATCATGGCATTCCCAACGCCAAGTAAGTATGTTAAATACTTTCTTCGAACGTATTATGTATTACACTTACACAAATACTGTGTAAGGTGTGGTATCAAACCTCTTCACTCAAATAAAATTAATACTTTGTTACAGAAGAAGTGCTTTTCAGATTTGTAAAGATTGAAATATTATATAATGTATTATTTGTAAATGTCATGTACTTATTTCACTTTTACTTTAAAATGTGCTTAAATAGTTAAAAACGATGTAGTAGCGAAATATTAGTAGTGTCGCTATACTACTACAAGTTACAACTGCATGAGTACTACTACGCAGCCTAATAAATATATCTTCATCTATAGGTATACTCTACGTATTTTTACACTGTTTGTAAATATTAATGGTTATATTCTTCTCACACTTCCTATTGTCTCTTTCGTGTTACTTTACAATTTATTCATAACAATGCTTTTATACGACGCTGGTTAGTTATCAGTCATTCAACAAATAACTAGTCCTGATTCTGCCACTTTAAACTGCTGGTGTTAGGCCTAATCGGCTGTTGGGTATTTGTTTCAGCTGACAATGCTGGGTAAATTTCTTAACTGTTAATTCACCTTGCTACTTTCTGATATGGTTTATCTGTTGAAGTTTTGGATTTCTTATTATTTAAAATAAGTTTCCTCTTTGTGTTTTTAAGTTTACTTGTTACTGTAGTGTATAGTTACCTCGGGACCCACAAAACTTGAACGTTAGCTGTGCGAAATATGTATTTGACGATTTCGGGAAATTGTTCTGTAAGTGTAAAAATAAAACCTTTGTTAGTGAGTATTTATTCATTACTTTTAATATAGAAAGATTATTCAATTGTGACGTTGCTCATTTCTCTTATAAACGTTTTATAAGCTTAATACTTCATTAACTTAAGTTCAAAACATCTATCACTGAATAAATAATAATAATATTAATAATGGCTTACCAACCATTTTTAAAAATAAAAATTTTGTTCTTTTTGATTACATGTAATATTTATTTATACATAACAGTAAACATATTTTTATACCAGTTTGCAAAAAAAATTAATGATAGCTTGGGATATTCTTGAAAATAAATTGCTTTTAATTCAAGGCAGGCATGTGCCTAAAATGAAAAAATAACAGCAGCGAAGATTCAAACATCATTGGCATACTAAAGACACTGAAAAGAAAATGAGATATAAATGTTGAGTTTAAAAGTTAAAATTGACAGATTGATTGACAATTTAACATGACCTTCAAGGCTGTCCTTGAGAAATATAAAAATTTAAATCTTCCCTTTACTTTTAAGGAAATCATCAGTTCCCCTCTTAAGTTCCTGTAAACCAAGTGGTTATAAACATAATACTATCTTCACTAGAGTCAGTTAACCTGTCTTTTCAACAATTTAAACTTTCTCATTTTATTATTTTCTGAATATAGCAGAGAGAAATTAAACTCTAGAGGCCTATATGCTATTAATCACCCAGATAACTTTGTAAACTTCAGTAATATAATATCTTACCCTTCTTTTTCTAAATAGAAAAATACAAATACAATCTCTGAAAGATAACCCTTTCATCTGTGAAATAATTCTAATAGCCCTCCTCTGCACCCATGCCAGTAAATCAATACCCTTTCTTTGATAAGAAGACCAAAAGTGGAAACTAAGATTTCATTTAATTTTCTTTCATCATATAGCAAAACAATGAACCTAATTAGTCAATGATAACTCTTGCAGTCGTATACTCATTAGTGTATAAATTAAATCAAAAATGATATTCCCCATAGTTAACCACCTGGTATAGGAGATTATTATCAATCATTTCAAGAAATCTCTGTCCCTCAATACTTGACCCCATACAGTACCAATCAATGTTCTAAAACAAAAATTGCCCATAATTACTGGATCAGTATTCATATTAGTAACAACCCTAATATCATTATACAGTTTCTCATAAATCGTTTCTGTCTGATCAGATGGTTCATAACAATTGCCAATTATAAACCTTCTAGTGTTAAACTCTGATTGTAACTTGTATAAATTAAACTGCATGACTACCAGTTTTTGTCTTCAATCCTTTTATAGTGAGACACTCCAACCCTCTTAAAAAGTCTATCACCACTAAATAGCTTATAACCTCAAATTTCAAAATAATAATCATAACATTATTCTCCATATCTGACCAAGTTTAAGTAATTCCCGTTACATTAGTCTTCCATTTCAACTAAAGCCCTCAACCCTTTATTTTGTTTGTAATACTCCTGACATAAGAATAATAGCAATTAAGTTTATTCCTCATTATTGTGTTTATCTGACACTTATGTTTAAAACTATTTTTTAACTCATTATGCTCTGTATCTCCTTTTTCCAAACTCCTTGTTACCCTAGTTATTCTATCAATTTCTTTATTCCCATTTTCCAGGTTCCTTCACCTCTATGCAAGTTTAGTATTTCCATTAACTGACCATTAATATAATTCACAGACTGTTTCATAATCTAGTTGACCAGCAGAGATGGAAGCTGCCAGTCTCGCTAGATGCAAAAATCGTGTGAGGGGCAGCTATCTTAATGCATGCATATTAAGACAGACCCCATCATTACTTTTATCTGACAAACAAAATTTATAAAATTATTCATAATTAAAGTGAGAATCTAAAACTTGAACCCTTTTATCTTATTGATTTTCTGCAATATCAATAAATATCTCAAAACCTACTAGAGAGGCCACTCTTTTCCTTCTCTCTGACTTTCAAGCTTATATATTAATCAATTTTACATGACTGGTGGACATGTTTATAACCAACAGAAAGAGGAGAGTCTCCTCTACATAAATCTTACAAGTAATTTAGTTTTTGTATTGTAAACTCTTATTAAGTGGAATTGCTTTGTATGCAGTGGTGTTGTTTTTGTGTTCCAAATGCTAAAGGAATGTTTAACCTATTTATGGCTTACTTAGAAAGCTGGATAAATTATAGTAGTTTTTAGACATTATATTCTAGTGACTGATATGTTTTTGTGCTCCGAATGCACATTTGAAAGCTACATGAGCTCTTTTTGGATGCCCAAATGTGCGAGCTTCAACAAGGCTTATAAAACAATGTTAAATTTTTTATTTTGAATCAAAAAAAAGCTCAAAGATGCAACACTTACAAATCCTTCTATGTATATATTTTTATTTATTTTTTAATAATGTTAAAATTGAAAACTTCTCAGCTTAGCTTAACAAAATTTCAGTAAAATCTCTAAAACGTTAGAAGCTCCAGTGCTCTGTAAAACATTACACTGAACAATCACATGGTGTTTACATGAGATCTATAGGACATAACAAATGGGCTCCCCCTGTGATTAATTGCTTTTGATGCAAAGATTACTGTTACACTGGGTACAATTTAAATCAATAAAACCGTAAGAATAAAAGGAAAAAAATGTGAAAAGGTTAGCAGCTGAAACTGTTAAGTAATTTAGAACTTCCTTCAGACAGTTTAGAGGAAGCAAGGATATTATTCATTTTATTTTGTATTTTTCATTTCACTGTACATTAATGATTTTGCCACAGTTAGGGTAGAGAAAATAAAAGATGTTTTACAAACAAAGGTGATAATCATTTGGAATGTTCTAGAGGTTATGCAAATGAGATACGAGAACTGTAAGATGAAGTATCTTTCCTCTTAGCATGGAAATTATCTTTCACTTAAGATTCACTCAGTACAGGCTTTAGAAGTTAAAGCACAAATCTTTAGCAAAAAAAAAAAATTTTTTCTATTGATTTTCTTTTCTGTACAACAGACTTGTAATGCTTACTAAAAGCTTGCCTAGTTTTGAAAAGATACACACAGCAAATTATAATAAATATTAGAATGTAAAACTTCACAGTTACAGGTCCATCACTTTGATTGAGCTCAGGGAACAGATGGATAATTAAATTTAGCACTGCTTTGTGAATATATTTTTTTTCCATATTAATTTTTTTTTTCTACATAATTGTCTGTTTTGTTTTATATGGTAACCAGTAAGATTATTAATAATTGGTCACTGTAACTGGTTGTGTTTTTTTGTAGCAGAGAGGCTGAAGTGTAATTTAACCTATATTTAATGAACATCCTACTTCTTAACCTGCTTAAGTGGAGCCCTATGATATAAGCATATCATTGATAATCTTTAAGTCTTGGATCCTGCCAATTAATTTATTCCTGCATCTAGCCCAATTAAGAACTCTTGAAAAGGCCATAAATATGTATCTATTCCTAAACCTTTAAATAAATTGTCAATGCACACACTATGATATCCTGTATTTAACTTCTGGCAAGCAAATTCTAGATCTAGTCTTTCTATTCTTTTCACTGCAAGTAACTCTATTAGTATATTTAAGGAAAAAGTCCTTCCCTCATACTATGCTCATCTGTTTTTAAATTGCACACAGCCAGTGGTGTAGATCTAGGTAAGAGTTCCATATGGTACCCCCACTCAATTTAAAAAAAAATCATCAGAGTAATATTTATGTATTAATAAATCATATTAATAGTATGATCTGATAATTTTAATACATTATTATACCACTTACTTCATTAATTAGATGTAAAATCTTCTTGGGGATAAACTTTACAAATGTCTTGTATAAAGGCATCAAAAAGGCTACTTTTATCAGAATATAATGTTCTCCACATGTATTCACACAAATGCTTGTCAGATGTATTTGCCTTGGTATGTGTAGTTGGTAGTTGTCTTTTGACACATCACCACCGATTCTCTATTAGGTTTGTACATGCACCACTTTTAATAAACCCTTTTCAGAATCTTTTTTATCCAGGCAATTCTACAATTTTTGGGTTGGGGTGCCATATGGAACTCTTTCCTAGATCTATTATAGATTGGTATCCAAAGATCCTATCTCTATTGCTTAAATTTTTTACAACTGTGCACTTTTGTAAACCCAGAACTAGAGTATCTTTCTTCTCATAACAACCTTTACCCTAATTCTATCCAGTTTCTACCTTACTTTCTGTTCCCAATCTACTATTTTCA